CATGAGCCACCTGACCAGAGTGACCAATAGAGGGACCAGTGTCAAGGGTGTCTGGGACAGGATCTCAGAGCTGGTGATTTATGCTGGGGTCTGAAAAATGAACAGGAGGAAGCTAGGGCTCCCATAAGTCTGTGCTACTAGAATGTCAGAGACTGCTTGTCTCCCAGTCGGGGATGTCAGCGGGGTGTCCACAGGGTTCGTTTCTTCTTATCATGCCTTTCTTGCTTTCCAGATGGCCACCTTCTTTCTATATCTTCATATTCGTTTCCCTCTGTGATGTCTGTGTCCTAATTTCCTCTTTGTGTAAGGATACCACTCATGCTGAACTAGGGCCCTCTCTAATAGCTTCATTTTAATTTTATTACCTCTTTAAGAACCCCATCTTAAAATAGAATTCCATTGTGAGACACTAACAATTAGGCCTTCAAGATACAAATTTGGGGCGAACAAAATGCCTTCATAAACACAAGGTGGGCTGAAGAATCTTCAAGGTCAACAAGTAGCATGTTTGGAAACCCGGGGGCAGGAAAGACAATGGTGTGATCAAGAAAATGGTTCCAGGGGCTGGAGAGATGGCTCAGGGGTTAAGAACACTGGCTGTTCTTGCAGAAGACCCAAGTTCGGATCCCACTGGCCACATGGCAGCTAACAACTGTCCATAATTCCAGTTCCAGGGGATCCAACAGTCTCTGCAGGCATTGCACAACACGGGTGCACCTACATATATGCAGGCAATACACGTATACCCTAAAATAAAAATAAATAAAACTTACAAAAGAAAATGGTTCCAAAGGAAGTTGTAGGGTCTGCAGGAACAAGATCATGCTGGGCTCTGTAAACCATGCAAGGGTTCCCATTTATGCTAATAGCACACAGACACCATCAGCTGCATTTAAAACACTCTTTGTGAAGAGGAGAGGTAGTGAGAAGTGGTAAGTAGCAGATTGTTTTAAACAGGGATTACTCTGCCTCAGCACTATTGACGTGTCAGGCCAGATGGCTCCCTGTTATGACCTCTCATTGTGTGGTAGAACAGGAGAAATGGTAATACAATATACTTGCCATTTCTAACAGTCAAAGCTGAACATTTGTTAAGTTCCAGACCTTTCCATGCAAAGCTCTATTCTTGGCCTTTGCAATAGCACCCTACCCCTAATCATGACAACTAAAAATGTCTCCAGGCCTTGACATATGTCCCCACACAGACAAAAGTCTCCCCTGTGCAGACTGCTGGTTGAGAAGGAGACAGGAGATCATGGTACCTTGGCTTTGGTGCTGCCAGGTCAGTGAGGCAGTTCGGATGGGTTTGAGGAAGGTTTGGGACACAGAATCATCAGGAGGATCTTCTCTTTGCCTCAATTTCTCCCTCTCTTCTTGTGTTTGATGATGTGACTTCCCCAAGGCATTAGCCTGGGTGCCCCCCACAAGCAGGATGGAGCTACTCGGGAGAGTGCAGAGCATGTGTCTGTTGTTATCCAGCAGGCAGGGTGCTGTGGGCTTGGCAGGACATTTGTAACGGATGGGGTATTTAGTCTCTACCCCCATGCAGTCATTCATCAAGTCCATGTGTTGCCAGCCTTATTGATCCTCAGAGCAGCATCTTCGGAATCTAATCTGGCCAATTTTCTGGTTCCAGAAATCTGTTTATCAGAACAAGATTTCACAGTTGTAGTGGCTTTTCCAGCGGGTTTGCCTTCGAGGACTTAGCTCTACAAAAGCAAGTGTAAGTGATTTCCAAATGGAACAGAGCAACAGCTCTGCATTCCACAGCCCTGAGAGTTCCCTGCTGGCTGGTGAGGCCTGGAGCAGTTGTTCTCAAACAGCTGGAGTGCGTGGGGTTTCTGGGCTGAGCATGTGGTGTCTGGCTAGAAACTAACATGTGACTGCTGCTCTTCTGTGCTCCTCCCCATGGGTATCCAGATCCCTCACTGGGAAATAATGAAGTCATTGCAGGGTTAATGGTGACTTTCTGGAGCTGTAGTCAGAGGAAGTCCTATGTTGGAATACTGGAATAGTGTCCTGATTCAGACTGGGTAGTAGATTGGGAGAAGAAATCACAGGGTGTTTATAATTCCCAGTAGTCAGAACTGCATGTCTTTTATTTCAGACCCTTCCATGTTCCAGGCTGCACCTTCCTGTATCAAGTCTTTGCTGACACTGTTCCCTTGACCCGAAGGGTCTTTACTTCATATCAGCCTCCCCTGCAAATGCCACCTCTGTACTGGAATCTTTCTTGATTTTTGCCTTGAATTCTGACTAAAGAAGACTGGGGAGCGGACACTGAGATCATAGCTCAGTAGTTAAGAGCACATGCTGCTCTTTTAGAGGACCTGGGCTAAGTTTCCATCACCCACATGCTGCCTTGTAACCGGGGGACCCAGTGGCCTCTTCTGGCCTCGGTGGGCTTCTGCATGCACATGGTACACATAAACTCATACAAGCACACACACACATCAAAAACAATTAAAAGAACACTGGGAAGCTATTTCTCTCTCTCTCTCTCTCTCTCTCTCTCTCTCTCTGCCTTTGTGTTTATGTGTGGATGTGTGGGAGTATGCACATGCATGTATGCATGTGTGTGTGTGTCTGTGTGTGTCTGTGTGTGTGTCTGTGTGTGTGTGTGTGTCTGTGTGTGTGAGTTAAGGCCAGAGGACAACCTTAGCAATTTTTCCTCAAACATTGCGCACCTTGTTTTTTTGAGACAGGATGTTTCACTAGCCTGGAACTCGCCAAGTAGGCTCTGCTGGCTGGTCAGGAAACCTCAGGGATCCACCTGTCTCCACCTCCCCAGTGCTGGGATTATAAGTGCTAGCACCCATTGTCTTTTGTTTGTGGGTTTGGGGAATTGAACTCAGGTCCTCATGTTTGCATATCAAGCACTTTACCAACTGAGCCACCTCCCTAGCCCCTCATTTAGTGGCTTCTTAAAATAAGGATTGTGATAGTTGATGGTTTATAAAGATCCTTCTAGCTAGTAAAGGATTGTGGACTGGGGCTGGAGGGAGGGGGCAGGATAAGCTGGGAGGCCAGGAGACCAAGTTGTAGCTGGCAGTGATCCTTGTAGGAGATGGTAGCTGCTTGGACTGGAGTTGTGGCTGCAGCAATGGAGAAGGGCACTGGCCATCTTCAGAAGTGATGAGTGGGCAAGGGATCAGGGCTGTGATGTCCTAGGGCTGAGCGGAGCCTTTTCTGTAGTGTCTCTTGGAGTTTGCCAGTGAACTGTGAATACTTATTTCAGAAGAGAGACATGTATGTATGTTGCTAATTTAGTACTGTGTGGCAGATGGTCTCCGAGGAATATCCACGGTGCTAGGTCTGGTGTGGTGCTGCTAACCCGTGTCTGTGTCCGTTCCCATTGGTTCTTGCTTGCTTGCTCCAGTTATAAAAATATTTTTAGTACCACCTCAGCAGTAGCATTATCAGACAACAGTGTAAGTGCTTATTTGTGCTTGGAGAAGCCCAGAACTTTCCAGAGAGAAGGGAACGGAGATGTTCTGTGCTATGGCGTGAGCAGCAATTTACTAGGAGACCCAGTGGGTCTCATAGCAAGCCTAGTGGCGTGGGAAGGAGTGTGAGGAAGGACCTGGGTGTTAATCTTTCCTTTGGCAAAGCTTGTGAAAGAGGATCAGAGGCCTTGATCTCTTGTTACCCCCCAGGCAGGATCTTATCACTGTAGCATTAGCATGCTTGTGTCCATTTCCAGCTAGGAAGGAGCCCTAGCCTTGAGTCTTTCCTGCATAGTACAAGTTTCAAGTCATAAATGGCCAGTAAATGTTTATTGAATGACTCAAGAGGAGGCAAGAGCTTCAATGTGCTGCAAACTGGTCTTTTCTTCCCTTTCCTTAGAGACCATTTTACTTCCTGATGGCTCCTTATCTCCCAGCCTTTGATCACACTGGCTGGGCTTGATCTGATCCATTAGATCTTGGCTCCCTGGAACATCCACCCCCACCCTCCACCACTGGAGGAGCTCTGTATTGTCCCTACCTGCCACTTCAGGTCCTTGTTTACTTTCCTGTCTGAGGGTGGTAGTAAGTAAGGCTCTTGGTACTTTATGATTGCTCAGTGGACTTCAACTGGAACCTTGGGGCTTGGTTCTAAAAGCTCTAGTAATTCTTGGTAGGGTAGTGATCAGGGTAGCCTCCCTGGGGTTAGCAGGCCTGAGGTCAGGTTTCATCTTGGCCTTTCCTACCCATGCAACTTCAGGCAGGTCAATTTGTAGATTGAGGTGTCCTATTTCTTGGTGGGAAATGATCTCCCCGTGTTCCTGCCAACTTGGCCTGAATTCAAGGACTCTGATTGAGGGACTGTGAGTCTGAGGCTTGACGGCTACTACTGTTGTAGGTAATAGGAGTCCAGTACATAGTCCTATCTGGGCTTGAATTTTTAGCTGTTACTGCTGGCTAGGAAAGAGAATTTGGATTTTCTCACCAATCTAAAGATTATTTTTTTTATTTCTCTTTCCCCCAGGCTCTGTGTGTGTATGTGTATCTGTATATGTCTGTGCACATGTGCCTGTGGGTGCCCGTGGCAGCCAGAAGAGGATATCTGAGCCCCTAGAACTGGAGTTATGGGTAGTTGTGAGCCATCTGACATGGATGCTAGGAACCGAACTTGGGTCTTTTGTGAGTAGTGTGGGCTCTTAACCTCTGAGCCATCTCTCCAACCCCCTTTCTCACCAATCTTTAGGACAGAGCTAGGCACCTGTTGTATGCTGGACTCTGAGTGCTTCCCCTGTATTTCTCCAGCTAGTCCCCAGGGAATCCCTGCACTGAGGTGGGTTAGATCATCAGTCTGTTTCATAGGTGAAGCAACTGAGATCTGGAGAGGCAAAGGTACCCACTGCAGGTCTCCCCTGTGCTGAGCAGCAGCCTTTCCAGTTGGGCCAGGGCTCAGGCCCTTGCTATGGTCATTGTACCCTCTAATCACCTATTCTCTCTCTCTCTCTCTCTCTCTCTCTCTCTCTCTCTCTCTCTCTCTCTCTCTTTCTCTCTCCACAGAGAGCCAGCTGCTCCCTGGGAACAACTTCACCAATGAGTGCAACATCCCAGGTAACTTCATGTGCAGCAACGGGAGGTGCATTCCGGGTGCCTGGCAGTGTGATGGGCTGCCCGACTGCTTCGACAAGAGTGACGAGAAGGAATGCCGTGAGTGGCCGCTTGCATGGGCCGGGGTGGGTGCTGGCAGATTTCCAGGACAACAGCAATAGGCCCTGATCTGGCTTTGACCTGGTACCCTCTGCCTTCTGTAAGCTGGTGGGCCAGCTGTCCCTCTGTCCCTGACCAGTGTGATCATCACAGAAGCATTAGGGTGGTAGTGTTAGGGTCCGTGACTCGATGGGTCCCCTCCAGATAACAAATACACGGGATTGGAGATGTAAAAATCAAGCAGAGTCTTTACTTTCCAGCCGGCTGGGGTCGACCGGTTTCCCAAGACATGCAAGTCTGGTCAGAACGATCGACCCCCAT